CTAGATATTTTTTATTAGATGGAGAGGCTGAGCAATGGTGGCTAGGCTAGTAAAAGAAGAAGTTTTAGTGGAGCTGAATGACACACTTCAGGATCTATATTGAAAGAATTACAATTGTCCTTCATTTTAACCATTTAACTAGAGCTTACTAATAAATAACGGAAAAAATATGATAACAATTTTATCTTACGTGGAGCCTCATATCATAGGATTTTTATTGTTTCCTAAAAATATTTAAAACAACATAATGAGCACATAACCCAAAAAGTAACTAAAATCTTACAACTAAAACTAATATAAGATAAATAGAATAATATCTTATAAATCATATAAAAAAAATATATGCATTAATGTCTATACTGATTATCTATATCAATTTATCCTTCTATAGTTCAATGTATCTTAAGAGTATCTTGCTTCTACACTTATGTCTCTCAATCAATTATCCCTTACAACAACAAATTAATATACTACTTATAACTCTCATTGAATCATGTTAATCATTCATCCTAACTCCTTATTCCTCCAAATCAGTCTTCCATGTGCTTTTTGTAACTCTCAATCAATGAATCATGTGGATCAGTAGGATATCAAATAAAGTTATTATATCATGTATCTAATATCATTCAATACTTTATTTAAAATATAATAAAATCATATCAAATTATTTAGAATGATCAAATCTAGAATATATCCAAACATGCATGGTTAAGCTTACGGAATCAGGAGATTATGCATTTTTGGCAAATTTAGGAGAGATAAATTTTGTAGAAACTAAAATCATTAAAAATAAAAGTAAGAGATTAGTCACTTACAATGAATATAATAAAATTTGTAATATAAATGACTAATAAATATGATATGAAGATCATGGTCTCTCCTCTCTCTTCTTCTCCTCTTTAATTTCTTCCTAGCCAAGAAACAAGTAATTAAGTGAGGGAGTTGATGGATATATATATATATATATATATATATATATATATCATGGCAATGCATACTAGATCAGTGCCAAAGCGCTCTATTTCAGAATTTTCATGTTTTTCAAATAAATTTATTTCACATTTTTTAGTTATTACACTAAACTCCCTAATTAGTTAGGAGGAGTTTACTAATGTATTTCAATCCTAGTTTATGATGCTTTATGCATGCTAATAGATATAGAAGGCATTTTAAAGACATTTCAAGGGGAGCATGATTATTATGCAATATGAGGCCTAGTTATCTAATTATCTAGGTATGATACTCAGCTGGTTAGCAGTCCCAAGAAGAAGTGCTACAAGTTTCTAAGAGGGCTTCAAGACACTTTGAGGAAACCACTAGTCCTACTTTATATTTCTAATTTCAATGAGCTTATAAAGAGAGCATGTTTGATAGAGAATGATCTAATATCTATTTAACTATAGTAGACTGCTAATAGGAAGTGGTTTGGTTGTGATACTTCTAGTAGTAGCTTCTCTAGGAAGAAGAGTAGGTTTGGACTCCCCAAGTTTAGAAGGGGTGGATAGTCTATATCTTTGACAATCTAGTAGTAACAGTGTGCTTCTATAAGTGGGGCACATGTGTATTATAGTTATGGTAGGCCACACTTTTGTCACTCATAAAGGATGATCAAATAATTTATTCAAGGTGTTTAGACTGGACATAAGGTAGCATAATGTTCATAGATAGGACAAGACTGACATTTTGAGCCTAGATATGATAGTTATATCAAACCAGTAAGGAGATCAAGGACCATTTCACTTGGTATGTTTGTTAAAGAATCATCTAGTAGATGTAATGGTTCTAGCTCTATAGCACACTTTATATCATGGAGTATCATAACTCGACTTGATAAGACCCGATATCACACAGGTCATTCCATATCCGATTGTTATAAGATTGACCCTAATTAAATCTAATAGGAGAACCACTAAAATAAATCTTCCAAAGTATACTTTAGATATATCCAATATTGAATGCAATATAAAACAAAAGACTACTAAATCTTTAAAATAATTTTCTTTTTATCATACAAAAACATATTCAATCTGAAGTATCTACAATAGTTCTTGGTAATAATAAAAATTAATAAAATAAAAGTCAAGCCTATAAAAATTAACAAACAAAAAGGGCATACAAATATCACAGATTATGACCTACTATTCAAACTACTCAGCTCACTCATTATTATTCCTCAACCTACACAACAAAATTCCACTTTGGTTGCCCATTGGCACAGTAATAACAGAATCCCACCTCGATCGCCGATGTTGCTGGTATAATAGAATCTCACATTGGTTGCCCACTGGCCTAGTCATAACATCACATAATATCACATCTTTGCTCATTTCTTTCACCATTATACATATTTTTTGATATATTTTATTAATTAAAGTGTAATTAAACTAAATTAAAAAATTACTAAAATGTCTTAACAGTAGATAGAAATATTACTAAGCAAAAATACATAATTTTCAAACATAACTAAATTATTGTAGATTGTGCATAACATTATTATAAGACTTTAATCGTGCATTGAAATGGATGGAATAATGTTATAATCATTCTAGAAAGTTCTTCCAGACACTTAGGATTCATTCTAGAATACATACATTCATTTTCATACATAAAATCACTCTCAAAGACATTCAAACAACTAGTCTGAACTGAACTCTGATCATGGAGGTCTCACAACTCTCCTCTCCTTAGAAAAAATATTATTCTTAACATTTTAAAATAAAAATATGTTAGAATAAACCTAGGTATAATTGTCTCATCTCAAATTATTTCTCCCAAGTAGCTTGTTCTTCCTCTGTATCTTGACCATCATAATAGGTTTGCTCTTAAAACTTCCTTACATCATGTGCTAGAATCCTATTTCGCTCTTCCCTATAATATAGACTCGGATGAATCTCAACATCATTATTAGATAATCTTCTGTTAGAATCAAATACCCACTGCCTCAAGGAAAATACATAAAATGTACTGTGTACAGCTAACATATGATTAGGAAATAATAACCTATAAGTATAACTATAAATTTGCTCGATCACATCAAAAGGCCCAATATACCTTAGACTTAGATTGCTAATTCTCCCAAAAATTTTGACACCTTTCATAGGGCTGATTTTGATATACAAAATCGCCAACCAAGCTAAAATTTCACCAGCATATATTTTTTATCATAATACTTTTTATGTTTATCTTATGCAGATATCAACCTTTCTCTAATTAGACTAATGTTCGTTGTAGTGTCATCCACAACTTATCACATGTATATCCCTTACTTCTATCAAAGTTAAATGGGTTTTAATTTGCACTTCCTAGTATACACGGCTTCATAAGGAGTCATGCCTATGTTGGATTGATGATTGTTCTTATACACAAATTCCATAAACAAAATATGATCCTTCCAACTACCACCAAAATCAAGAATATAGAGTCTTAAAAGATCCTCTAATACCTGATAGTCCTTTCAGACTATCCGTTTGTATACGAATGAAAAGTTATACTGAAGTTCGATTTCATACCAAGTTTTTATTGAATACCTCTCCACAACCTGAAAATGAACTATGCATCATGATTGGATACAACAACAAATAAGAGTCTTGTAACTGATTACGTGAAATTAATGTCTTCAAATCTTAATTTAATGCAAATACCACAACAACTAACTCGAGATTATGTGTTGGGTAGTTCACCTCATATGATTTCTACTGCTGAGATACATAAGTAATAACTTTACCATGCTGCATCGGCATGCACAAGGGCGGAATCACCTAGTGGTCAGGGGGGAAATTGCCCCCCTAAAAAAAATAATTATATGATTTTTTTAGGTAATTTATCCACCTTCATTCATTTTTTAGTCTTTATTATAATGGTTTTTAGGCAACCGATCATTTAGTAGCTTAAAACTCTTCTCATATTCCATAGTCCATAAAAAAATAAATAGCATAACTATAATAAAATAAACATAATTCAAATTAGATTATCCGAAATTTTAATTTTGATTTTGGCTATTTATTTGTTATTTAATTTTTCATAAATTAAAATATGATAATATTATGTATTATATATAATGATATATGTATTTATTTGTATTTATAAGTGTTATAAGATTACATGCTTTATATTTTAATGGATAAAAATATAAAGTTTTTTTCTTAAAAATTGATAAAAATAGATTAAATAACTTTTTAATGGACATAGAATATTTGGTTTCTTAAGAAACCGGTACAAGAAAATCTGGTTTCTTACGAACCGTAATTTAATTGATGTTCCGCTTTCTTCTCCAATCTGAAAATAACATAAAAAATAAAATTAAACCGTGATAATATATAGAAAATGGAGAATTTCCATATTTGCTCATTTTTAAATTTTTTCGTAAACATGTTCCTTAAGCTAATTTAGGTTTAAAGCATGCCTTTTTTTTAATAAATTAGCCTTTATTTTTAAAATTAATCATATAAGCGGTTGATAATAATATTATTTTATTTTTTGAACTTTTTTCTAAAGCTAAATAATATATAAAAAACAGCACCAAATATGACCTTAATTACGCGATTTAGATGAAATAAAATAAATATAATGGACATAAAAAAACTTTCTGTGTACGCCACAGAAAAGATATATTATTTCTATACGGTCGGCCTCTAATTCTGAGAAGCTGCAGCCGCCGAATAAAGCTTCACTTCTCGTAGAAGTATCTGTGAACAAAAATTCAAAGCACTCGTAAAAATAATTCGAGTTTGTTCCAAGTTGTGCTTCCTTGACCGGAGAGTTCCACGCATGAATTGACGTGATAAGCATCCGAACCTTCACGGCCAGCTTTCCCAAAATACACAGAAGATATCCGGATGCTTCCTTCGTTAATCACGCATGTAACACTGCCATGATCTGAATCTCCTTCAGAAATACACAGCTCAACCACCCTCTTCAACACGCTCTTCATACCAAATTAACCCTATATATATATATATATGTATCATTACTTACATTGTAAGCCAGCCAAAGCTAGCTCTTCTGGTTTCATAACTAAACATAAAAGACTAGAAGAAAATGAGAAATAATGTCGTTGGAGAATACGAAGAGGTGTTCCGAAGCTTTGATGAAGACAGCGACGGGAAGATATCACCGGCAGAGTTGCGTTCCTGCATGAGGATAATAGGCGATGAGATGGCTTTGGAGGAAGCTGAAGCTTTGGTTAAGTCTTTGGATTCGGACGGTGATGGGCTGCTGGAAATGGAGGAGTTCTTCAAGTTGGTTGAAGTTGAAGGAGGCGAGGAAGAGGAGAAGGAGCTGAGGGAGGCCTTTGCGATGTATGAGATGGACGGGGAAGGATGCATCACTCCTAAGAGTCTGAAGCGAATGCTGAGCAGGCTGGGCGCGTCAAGAGATCTATACACTTGTGAGTTTATGATTCAGAGGTTCGACATTAATGGTGATGGGGTGCTTTGTTTCGAAGAGTTCAAGACCATGATGGCGATTTGAAGATTCCAACTTAAAATTAATTTTTTTTTTATTGTATGATTATGCGTTTACATGGTGATGTATGTGTACTTCAAAGTCATATGAAATTAAATCTATTTATTAGCTCTTTCATTAGATGGACAGAGATGACTCTTGCCATTGCGATTAATATCTGATAAAAATAGTTCATGTAGAACGTTAAAATAAGGAAAGGAAATTGGAATCCATGATATGAAAAGATTAAATGAGTAAATATTGGAGAGAAAAGATCAAAGTTATAGGATAAGTTATAATAGAAATACATTTTCATCTTCTAATTCTTGTATATTTTAATTTTTTCATCATAGCTCAAATTATATTAAAATATTCTGAAACAATTTTTTGTCATTTACTTAGTATTGGATACCACTACAACTTCTGTGGCTCATTTTTGGGATGCTCTAGATAGGAGATGTTGGAACTATATAACAACGTTTGTTGTAAAGCTATGAGGCAAGGTGGAAGGTGAGAAACCTGTGTGGATGGAATTTTCTCAGAAACTATTAGGTGCTTCGCAATTTGTCATGTTGCCATAGACTCCAATGCTATAAATATTGTATATATCAGAGAAGATTGTTAAGCAATTGATTTGATATTCTAATAATAAAACTTTCAAGTGAGTGCTAAAACATTCATCTAATGGAGAAGCTTTAAAACATTTTTGACCGTACATATTCAGATGATGGTGGTGGGATCGAGGGACCATAGTTGTTGGGCGACTGTGGTCATAGGGACCGTATTTGGCAAGTGAAGATGGTCGGATGAAGGAACGGTGATGGGTGATTAACAAATTAGGTATGACGGCTATGGTCAGCCATAGGTCCATATTTGACAATCTAGTGATGAGGGTTCATCAATGGTGGCACCGGGCCAGGTGGAACTCTGGGATGCTTCAAACCTTTTAGCCACTTTTATCTCTAGACCAAAGTTGAAGCCTCCTTGAGTCTTAGCCCCGAAAGGTTCAAGCCTCTCATTTTTAAGGAAGGGATATATAGTTATAGATTTTGAGAGTGACATGTCCTATAAATATGTAGAATATCTGAGAAAAATTCAGAGTATTCCATGGACGCCCCATACGGTTCCCTGAATCATGGAGCATTTGTCAAGCATTTAAGTACCTTAATGATATTATGAATTAAGCGAACTTGGGCTTGTTGGATTTATCTTGTCGAGCCGCTCGATACGATTTTAATCATGTGATCATATGTAAAGATCATTTGGTTATCCAATTTATGCTTTAAATCTTCCAAATATGCTTTGACCCCTAGATTTGAACCCATTGGATTTGGATAGAACCAATTTTGGTATCATTAGGTTCGTCTAATTAAGACATTCAATTTGATTATAAGTTTACTGAAATTGAAGTTCGGATGATCCCGAGTTAAATTGTGAAGTTGCCAACCTATATATGCTATGAGATTCATGTCTGATAAAGATGATTTTTGATGACATATTTATTTTTATGATGATGCTTATATTTTAATTTTTTTGTTTGTATTTGATCGTTTAGATTTCTCCTAACTATATAAGATATGAATTTTGTTAATCATGTTAAGTCCAAATTTTATCCAATAAAATCTTCCAACATATAGTTGAATTACCCCCTTTGCATAAAAGTCTTTAACAAAAACAGATTGTGGGCCACTAAATATTTTGGAAACTCTGTAATAATATAAAAATTTTAAAAAGAAAATTTATTGACTTTGTTGAGTCTTATAACATCTTTTGTTAATTTTGAAAGATCTTGTTATATTGTATGAGACCTTATTACAACAATATATATATATATACGCACATAAGAGAAGCTATAAATGAACTGAAGCTGAGTGTTACAAATCCCGCATCTTCACCTAGCTTCACAGCTTTACAGTAAGAAGATTTAATGAACTTTCAAAAATCACAATATTAATTGGTGCAAAAAAATTTAAAAAAAATTTGGGCTCGTTGGATTTGTCTCGTTGAGCCGCTCGATTTGACTATAAGCATGTCACAGTTGAAAACTGTTTGGTAATCCAAATTGTGCTTTGAACCCTTCAACAGTGCTTCAGACCCTTGTTTTGGACCCATTCGGGCTCGGATTGAGTTTAATTTGGTGTCGTTGGGCTCGTCTTATTAAGACATTCAATTTGATTATAAGTTTACTGAAGTTGAAGTTTGGATGAACCTGAGTTAAATTGTGAAGTTGCCCAACCTATATATGCTTTGAGATTCATGTCTGATAAAGACATTTTTTTATGACATATTTATTTTTTATGATGATGCTTATATTTTAATTTTTTTTGTTTGTATTTGATCCTTTGAGATTTCTCCTAACTATATGAGATATGAATTTTGTTAATCATGTGAAGTCCAAATTTTATCCAAGTAAAATCTTCCAACATATAGTTTAATTAACCCCTTTGAATAAAAAATCTTTAACAAATACAGATTGTGGGCCACAAAACATTTTGGAAACTCTATAAAAATATTAAAAAAAAAGAAAATTTATTGACTTTGTTGAGTCTTATAACATCTTTTGTTAATTTTGAAAGATCTTGTTATATTGTATGAGACCTTATTACAAATATATATATATATATATATACACACATAAGAGAAGCTATAAATGAACTGAAGCTGAGTGTTACAAATCCCGCATCTTCACCTAGCTTCACAGCTTTACAGTAAGAAGATTTAATGAACTTTCAAAAATCACAATATTAATTGGTGCAAAAAAATTTTAAAAAAAATTGCATAAGAAGATCGTAATAAAATTTGTAGCAGACTGAAAAAAAATAAAATATATAAATTTAGAAGTTGAAATTTAAAGATGGAAGGCGCTATAATTATTTTTTAAGAAAAAATTGTATTTTTATTCTACTTACATATCTCATAATACTGACTACTGAGCCTTGAAGCACCGGAGCAGTATCAAAAAGACAGAAAAAATAAAATAAAATAATATGCTGATAAATCAATGCGTTTTAGTTGGAATCTTCAAATGGCCATCATGTTCTTGAACTCTTCAAAACAAAGCACCCCGTCGCCATTAATGTCGAACCTCTGAATCATAACCTCACAAGTACTGAGATCTCTTGAAGTGCCCAGCTTGCTCAGCATGCGCTTCAGGCTCTTAGGAGTGATGCATCCTTGGCCATCCATCTCATACATAGCGAAGGCCTCCCTCAGCTCCTTCTCCTCTTCCACACCTCCTTCAAATTCAACCATCCTGAAGAACTCCTCCATTGCCAGCAGCCCGTCACCGTCCGAATCGAAAGACTGAACCAAAGCTTCTGCTTCGTGTAAATCCATCTCATCGCCGATTATTCGCATGCAGGAACGTAACTCTGCCGGTGATAGCTTTCCGTCGCCGTCCTCATCAAAGCTTCGGAACACCTCTACGTATTCTCCAGTAGGATTAATTCTCATTTTCTGCTAGTTTTTGTGTTTGGTTGTGAAACAACTAGAAGAGGTGTTGGGAGGATTCTCTTTAAGGTCCTTCATGGCTTTGGTGTATATATAGATGTGATATAGATTTAGGATTCGAAAGTGTGTTAGGTATGGATGGCGTGTTTGTATTTGCGAAGGAAGGGCAGATGAAATTGTATTTTGGTTGTGATGGACGTTATCTGCATAAAGGAAGCATCCAAATATTTTCCATTAATTTTTTTTCTAGAAAGTTGACCGTTAAGGACTGGGTTTTTACAGATGAATCGTTCATTGACGCTTAGTCAATGGAAGAAAGACTCGGAAGAAATCCAAATTACTCGTTAAATTGGGCTGGATTTCTTATGACAGGTATTTCGAAGCCAATGTGACTGCAAGTTCGCCGAATGAGGGGATCTTATTATAGGATTTTTTTTGGAGACGTCATTTCATTAGTTTCTTTTTGGGGTCGTTTAGTACGATGAAAAGGAAATTCAGGTAGAAATTATTATAATGTAAAATAAAAGTAGTTTTTTTTTATATACTTTTGAGTTATTTAGTTGATTATGCTATTGATACATCATCAAAATTTGTCTTGATCAGGCCTGAATAATGAGACATTTAAATTAAAAAACTTTCAAAACTAAATTTGGGATCATCTGAACTCTATTTATAACAAACTTGTAGTCAAACTAACAGTTTCGATTAGATGAACCCAACAACATCAAAATCAGTCAAATCCGAGCTCAAATAACCCTTTAAAAAAAAATGGCATGAAGAATATATGAACTCTTTAGATCATTAATTGGATGACCAAATAATATCCAAATGTAACATGCTTATAGTCGAATCGAGCGGCTCGACGAGACTAATCTAACGAGCCTAAGATTACTTAATTCCGATATCATTAAAGTACATAAATACTTTACGAGCGCTCCATGGTCGAGGGAATCAATATTGCCTGTCCGATAGAGCACTCTAAATTTGCCTAAGATCTTGTTAGCTTGAATATATGATATACGTATGAATTTATATTTAATTTGCTCAAAACTTATTCAAACAAAACAAATAAAAATTTATTTGAGACCGTTTTATTCTCACTTTTTACAACAATTTTTTAGTATAACTTTTTTTTTTTAATTAGTAAAAAATTAATGATAAATAACTATCCCAAAAGCAAAAGTTTTGCTACGCGTTGACCGACTTTAATCTTAAACTTCCAGGCGTTTTTCAAGGAGTACAGTTGGAAGACTCTAAGCCTGTTTTTGTCTTGATAGTTCACTTATCCTATTTGGCTTAGGCTATTCTAATTTACGCGCTCATGCGAGTAGTCCAGCAGGGCTCCTCCTGCACGCGATCAATAGGATCTGCGGCGTTCTGTGCGCGCATGGAAAGGTGGATTCCAGGAAGGATTTTTGAGTCCGCTGATTTCCCGCGGCGGTGAATCTGTGATTTTGGTTCGGAAGATGCACGCTAGAGATCCGATGATTGGGAAATTTCGAAATTGACCGATAGAGCCGACAATTATAATTAAGGTTTATTTTAAATATAATTGAGATATGATTATGCATTAATTTATCTGTTAAAGTTGAGTTATTAGAAGTATCTAAAGAACCATTCGAGCTATGTGATATGTAATTCTTGATTTAGATAAAATCTATTTGGATAACTTTATTTCCTTCTTTATTTTCAAATTGAAACCATAGCTTAAAAAAAAAAAAAAATTGAAACCATAGCTTCTGTTTTACTATTTTTTATTCTTTTAAAGAAATTTCTGTACTAAAATTTTTTTTCTTACGAATACTTTCAAAAAATGATACTTATTTAAATTATAAAAGCCTGCAATGACCTTTATTCAACAACTTTGTAACTACTTTTATAAAAAGCGACAATCATCTCAAATATATCCTTAGAATTATGAATGCAAGTTGGGTATAAATGAGATTTTTTATTTTCAAAGAAAATCATTTTGTTGTATCATATGATGCTTAATTTTCAAGTATGCTCTAAGTTTTTGATATGAGATTATTAAGATTGAGATCAGATCATTTTTAGAGTTGTTTAGTATATTAGGTTAAGTTAATCAGCTAGGTTAGAAGTTTTTTAAAATTGGAGTCGGGGGAATGTCCTAAATTTAATTCTAGAATCCTTATATTCAAGTGTGCATTGGGATTTGTGCATGTTGAGCCGCTTGTTTATGGCGTATCACATACCAAGCATCACATTTATTTTATTATGAAGCCCTAATCTTGAGGCATCCTTTAGAATTTATTAACTAAAAATTGCTCTATAGGAAAGACGCACTTGGATCAAATTAGTTAAGAACTTAACTCGGATTCAAACATTATTAACTTGATTCAAACTTGGCTCGAGTCAAAATTGAAATTGTTTCGTTCAAGAAAAATTATAATGAGAGAATAAGAATGTCTAAGATTAGTATTGCAAAATGATATGTGCACGCAAATGTAAGGTCACTGGCAAACAACATAATAATTTTTAATTAAAAAGGCCTATAAAAGTAAATGCTTATCATAAAAGTCTATCATTTCCTCTAATTAAAGAAGATGCAATTACAAATTATGAATTAATGACTCGATCTTCTCTGAGTGTTCTGGAAAGGATTGAAGAAGAATTATGTGATGACATACTTCGACTTTGATAAACAACCAACAAAGGAAGATGAAATTAAACATTAATGTTAGTTGGCATTAAGTGATGATAGTTAGGAAAAGATAGTTAGGACTTGATGGGCGAGCGTTATAGTTTAAAATGATTTTGGGCCATAGTAGTTGGATAATAGTAATCGTGCAATGACAACTAGATCAAGACGATAAGAAGATGGTATTAATGCAATGATGGTTGATTGTAGTAATTGTCAATATCCATTAATGAGCAAAGCTTTAAGACTCTTCAGCTCTCATAGATCTCTTCCCTCTTAGGCATCATTCATGTGAAATTGTGTCCTATTTATACTTTTCCAAAATTCTTTAATGCTCCATGGAATGATATGCATTAAATCACTTAATCATATATTATTTCATAGGAATTTATATTAATGCAATCAAAAGTAAATAATCATTAGCTCACTTGATTTTCTTGAATATAAGACTGTAAGATTTGAAAAACATTTATCTCATACATAATACAATAAGTATTGCGTCCTAGAATATATATGGCGGTAGAAAAATATAAAGTTTAATGTCTTAGCTTTGTACGAAGATCCAGCACACATTCAGATAAAAAGAGAGTGTAGTATTTATAAAAGACATCAAGATTTTTACATGGAAAATCCTGAAAAGGAAAAAATCACGAGGCCTGGCCCAGTTTGAATTAATCCACTAGTATTTGCAGTTGATTACGAGTGAGGCCCTTCATTGGAGGGAAGGTCATGGCTTGATGTAACAAATATACATAATATAGAATGCATTACATGATGACAAATGGAAAAATCGATATTGATATGTTCGTTTGGTCGGCATGACCATAATCGGTTGACAACAGAGTTCAAAAAGATTGCATTCGGGTGACATTAGTTGGAACGAATATAGTCGGCATGCGACGAAGTTCGGAAGGACCATTATCTGACAACGAAGGTCGGACGGATCGTAGTTAGCATGTGATAGAGGTCAGAAAGACAATTTTGTGGAGACAAAGATCGAAAGGATCGTATTCAGTCGACAGAGGTTAGAAGGACCGTAATCGGTAGGCGATAAAAGTAAGAAAGATCGTTTTCTGACGATGGAGGTCGAAAAGACCGTAGTTAGTAGGTGATATAGGTCAGAAAGAAAAATTGTCTAGTGAAAGAGATCGGAAGGACTGTATTCAAACAACGGAGGTTGAACGGACTGTAGTCGGCATGCGACAGAGGTCAGAAAGACCGTTGTTTAACAAAAAAGGTTAGAAAGCTTTAGGATTCTTCAACTCTCCAAGATCTCTTCCCTCTTAGGCATAGTTCATGTGAAATGGTGACCTATTTATACTTTTTTGGAGTGACATTTTGATAATTTTAGTCAAAATTCTTTAATGCACCATGGAATGATATTCATTAAGTCACTTAATCATTTATTATTTCATAGGAATTTATATTAATGCAATCAGAAATAAATAATCATTATCTCACAAGATTCTTCTTGAATATAAGCTGTAAGATTTGAAAATCCATTATTCCATACATAATATCTTAAGTGTTGCGTACTAAAATATTCGCGACAATAGAGAAATTTAAACTTTAACGTCTTAACTTTCTACGAAGATCCAACACACATAATCTGATAAAAAGAGATGGTGCAGTATTTATAAAAGACATAAAAAATTTTATGTGGAAAATCCTGAAAAAAGAAAAAAATCATGAGGCCTAGCCCCATTTGAATGAATCTAGTTATTAGTATTTGTCATTGATTACAAGTGAGGCCCTTCATTGGAAGGCAGGTCTTTGCTTGGTGTAACAAATATACATTATATATATAATGCATTAAATGGTGGAAATGGGAAGAATCAATATTTATATGTTCGTTTGGTCAACAAAATCATAGTCGGCTATCAACATAGGTAAAAAAGATGGTATTCGGGTGACAGTGGTCGGAAGGACCGTAGTCGGCGGGTGACGAAGGTCGGACGGACCGTAGTTGTCAGGTGATAGAGGTCAAAAAGATAGTTTTGTGGCGATGGAGATCAGAGGGATCATATTCAGATGATGGAGATCAGAAGGACTGTAGTCGGTGTTGGGGAAGAAGTTCAGTGTTTGTTGGTGGCCAGGAAGAAGTGCGGTGTAAGTTGGTAGCATAGAAGAAGTGCGGCGTTAGTTGACAGTCAGCTGTAAGTTTGACGTCAATCGGCGGCCAGGAGAAAGTCTAGTATCAATCGGTTGCCAAGCAGAAGTCTAGCATCAGTTGGTGGCCAAGTGGAAGTCTGGTAGTGGTCGAGGAAGAGTCTGGTGGCAAGAGGGCTCTCTTCCTTATTTTCCTTCCTTAGGTCCCCTCTCAATGAAGAATGAGAGGTCTATTTATAATTTTTTGAGAGTGACATGACCAGTAGATAAGGAGGAGATTAAGGACAAGCTGGGAGTTGTTTGAATGGATGATCGATGTTGTTCCCTTGATTATGAACCATTTATTGAGAATTTGAATGTTCCAATGATATTAAAATTTGACAATCATGGGCTCGTTTAATCTATCTCGTCTCGATTCGATCATATGCATGTCACGTTTGGAAAATGTTTGGTAATCTAAATTGTGGTTTGAGCCATCTAAATGCACTTTGGGTCTTCGATTAAATTGAATTGAATTTGCTGTCATTGGGTTCGTATTTTCAAGATGTTCAGTTCGACTATAAGATGATGAAATTGGGGTTCAGATGGTCCAGAATTTAATTTTGAAAGTTGCCAAATTGATTTTTCCTTAAGATTCATGCCCAATCAAAATAATTTTTTGATGATATATATATAAAGTTTCCAACTATGCGTCAATTTCTTGATTTAAGCACATTTTGACTCGGATCAAGTTACTTTTAATGTTATTGAGTTCATCTTATCAAAATATGTTTCAACTATAAATTTTTTAAAAGTATTGTTCATGAATTCTATCATAGAAGTTTTCAATTCAAATACATGCATCAAGATACATGGTTTGATCTATCAATTTTCTATTGATGGATCAAAATTATTAAATTTTGAGTTATAGATAAAAAATATTAAATTTTGAATTTAGACAAACTCACTTGAGCTTGACTAAGTTTCAGCTCTAATTTCACTCTCACCCTAAACAAATTTAGATAAAGGCATTAAAAAAAAAAAAAAAAAGTGAACTTGGGCTAAAGTTCATGAGGCGGTTATTGAACTTTTTATATGAAGAGTGAGCAAGACTAATTATTGATGAAAAAGGCAATAATTTTGGCAATTAAAAAAATTGAGTATTCATGAAAGTAGACGACAATAAACTTGTTATCAAAGGATCAGGAGTGTTTGAAAGATTGGATGATATTACCATGCATTTAAAAAGATCATTTATGATTTTAAATTTTATTTTGTAAGTAAATCAATTATAAAAATAAATTAGAGTTAAGATAGGAACTTGAAATATAAATCCTCTTAGACAAATTAATAGAATTAAGACAAATTGATAGAATTAATATATATTATAATTGATAGAAAGAGAAATATTATATGTATTTAGGAAACTAAATTGATTTAAGAGAATAATAAGAAGATTAATAGTTAAGGATTTAAACTATAATATTTTAGTATGAGTCATATTAGAAATAATGTAAGTGTTATTATAAATAAAAGTTTAAATGATAATTTTGTAAAAATTAATAGAATTGAATATAGAATTATAATTTTAATGACTGTTGTTAATGCTAAGATTATTTAAGAATGGATATAGTAAAACTCAAATTGATTATTTCATTTAAGAAAAATAAATTATTTAGATTTTAAAGATTATTTAGATAGGAGTCCTAGAAGATGGCAAAGATGTGGCTGTAAAGAGGAATGCCATGCAAAATATACTTGATGAGGTGGAGTATCATCCATGAAAGTATTAACAAACACTACATGAAGTGGAATATCATCTATAGTATATTTCCGAAAAATCAAGAACACAATATATCTTTAGGCATACTGTAACAACTGCAGAAATTCTTCAAGACTACAATCGGTCATCCAAGATATTAGGAGAAGATATCAAAAGGAATCCATTAAATCATCTAACATGAACTATATTATTTAACTTGAAGAAAAAAGACCTACAGATCATAATCGCAGTTAATTTTGGGTATAACAAAAGGTGCCACCTTTCCATCATCTCCGCAAAGCTTAATCCTTCTTAAGAAAAACACAGGTGAACTGCAACCCTGGCTGCAGGAAGGATCCAGGAACAAAGGAAATTTAAAAAGTAGCAGCCAAATTACCAACCATTGCAGTTACAAGAGAGCAACAACATTCTGTTTCCATCCAATATGAATGACCCAACTTTGCTTTAGATGAAAATCTTATTGTATTATCATAATAGACACTAACATCATCCATCCCGTTGAAATTCACATTCTTCTTGCAAAGAATGGTTACAGATCTTCTGACCATCTTCAAAGAAGAGGTAGCCATGCAACCACCCTCTGAATTTGAATTCTCTCAGCCAATGATGAACAGAAGTTATGAAAACGTATACAGGTTCAATTCATTTAGCATGTTATCCTATCATCTGATTCAAATATGACCCATTTGCTTGTGATGCAGAGGCTCCGACTAATAATCTTCTGTCGATATTATATGGTAAGCAAAATGATCTTCCTTCGAGTAGAAATTACTAAACTTGCTTCAGATAATGTCCCAACTGAATTATCAGAACACTAATGTCATCCATGGAGCCTCTAGAAACTGATAGGTTAACAAGCTTCTTGCAAGCGGAGAGTGGAGATGGTCTCTGGGGATCCATACACAAGGGTCGAGCTATATCAATGGCCTCCTGGTTGTTAACCTGAAAGATTAAAGATAAGGCTTTGTAAATTTGAATGCTCTCAAATGGAGAATAAATGAAGTTCTAAGTTAATTGAACTTGAGAAAGATCTCACCTTTTCCCAAAGACCATCAGAAGCTAGAATTAAAAATTCACACTCAGGTTCAATCTTGATGATACTAGTTTCCGGTTCTGCTATAACCCATTGCTTGAGATGGGAATCTCCAATTCCCCTGGAGACAGCTAAGGAGCCCTGCAATCTCCAAACACCTCTACAGCAATCTACATAACCACCCTGCATACAAAATTAAAAAAAATGAGAATCTGTAACATTGAAAGATCAAACTATAGGCTTGAATAGAGATTTAATAATAACGAGGAAGATCTTTAGTAAGAAAGCGGGCTTACAAGGCTTTCGATCCTGTCCTTCTCGTCCTCTCTTGAGGGCCGGTGATCGGAAGTAAGGGCTTTAGCGGCACCGGAGAAGCTCATGACAGCACGGCAGTCGCCAGCGTTAGAAACAATGAGATCGCCATTTCTGACAACAGCAGTAACGCAGCACGTTCCTCCTTTGACATTCTCCTTCAGGAATTCCGCATCGGTTCTCAGATATCCATTCCTTACTGCCTCCTCTATATTGATACCCAATTTTTCTTCTTTTCCGATGATCGTCTCTTCCAATATATGATCCCCAAGATTTTCCGAGCAAAAGTGGGAGGCTTTCGATCCGCCGTGGCCATCGAAAATACCAAAGAACGCCTGCAAATCGCCAAACCTCTTTAATTTCATTCTTTGTTATTCGAAATCACTAAAGAATTCAGATTTTTGCCGAATTTCTATTAAGGACAAAATTTTGGCGATTTTGTTATGAATAAAGAAATGCATGGATTCACGAAAATTAGGGAAAAAAGAACCCTACCATTTGGGGATCTCCGCAGAGGTCAAGTGACGCGCTGTGACGATCCTCCATCTCGACCCGCTTTCTCCCCCTCTTACAGTAAACCGAATACCGGGCGCTCTCTGCCTCCACCTCTCGCCGGCCATCGGAATCCACTGGGGGCTCGTAAGCCAGCAATCCCGACATCGGGATATCCAACCGCGTGGGCCTTTTCCTCTTCAAAAGAGGAGAAGAACCACACAAATTGGAAGCTGCAACTGGAGATGAGCATGAGACTGACGAAGACGAAGACCGTGAAAGATAAGTGGGTGCGGAATCTAAGGTCGGCGACGGAGAAGCACAGAGCTCCTTCTTAAAAATTCCGAGGCTACTAGCCCCTCGCTGGGACCTCCAAAATGGCGAAGAAGATGAAGCCGGCAAGGGCAATCCATCGACCAACGCCGCCGATAGATGTTGCTGGGTTAAGCCGAGGGCAATGTTTCCCGGCGAGGTCTTGAGGGAAATCCTCGTCGGTGAGAATACCGGTGAGCTTACGACCGCAAGCATCTTCTATTTTTTTTTTTTTTGGAATTGGACAGAAAGAAGAATATAGTCTTTCTGCCCAACTGATCTGGCCGGCTATCAATAGCCGGCCCTTTATAGTGCTCGAAGTTCGTTTTGATGTTCCTCGGAAGCGCGTATTAAGCTGTTCCACGCAATTTAAAAAAATTCATAAAAGATTTTCATCTACCTAATAGGCTAATACCAGTGAGGCATGATAAAAAAATTTGATATGGTGAGAAGCAGAACGACTGAACTGTCTACTGGCAGTCTGGCCTGGAGGAGCGCGTAGGGCCGCTTAAGAAATGCCACACATGCTGTTCGAAGAAGTCAAAAATGGGTTTTCGGCTCTCATTTGAATCTAATCTGGAATTGGCCCAGTTTTAACTCACCTGATCTGAGGCCAACCCGGATAAATGGATTGAAAGGCTGGACCCGAACCCGACCTAATAGGCCCCCGATCCATTGATCTGATTGACTGCAATGGGCGACTAAGCATGGATGGTCAAGTGGGGGAGTGAGCTCGATCGAGCAAGTGAGCGGGGCTAGCAGGCAAAAAAAGAGTGCAAGCATGACGGACAAGCATGAAGGACATGCATGATGAACGAGTTTCGGGTGCTTTTGAGTCTTTGGGTTGACCCGGATCCGTCAGGTTGAATTGTGTTAGATTTTTGAGTTGTGTCAAATATTGACACCCCTAAGTGAACCAAAGCGGCATTTTATTTGGAAAATAAATTATTTTCTCAAGGATTTTCTATCCAAAATTCTATAAATTTCTAGACAAATTATTTAAAATAAATAAATATCTTTTCAATTTATACATGATTTTTTATGTTTTATATAAATGTCTTTTAACATGTATGTATTTGATATATCATATAAAAATTATCTTGATCGAGCACGAATCTTGAAGCAAATTTAAGATGCATGAAACTTCAAAAATTAAATCGGAGACCATCTGAACTCCGATTTCAACAAACTTACATTCAAACTGAACGTCTCGGAAATACAAACCCAACGACATCAAATTAGACTTAATACGGGCCGAAATGGGTCCAAATCGAAGACCCAAAGCACATTCGGAAGGTTCGAACCATAATTTGGATTACTAAACGGTTTCCAAACATGGCATACTTATAGTCGAATCGAGCGGCTCGACGAAACGAATCTAACGAGCCTAAGATTGTAGGATTATGATTTCATTAAGACATTCAAATGCCCAATAAACAATCTATGATCAAGGGGTTCAACATCGGCCATCCATTCAAACCACTCCCTATTTACCTTTGGTCTTCCTCCTATTTTTTGGCCATGCCACTCGCAGAAAACTATAAATAAACCTTTCATTTCTCATAGAAAGGGACCCCAAATGGGAGAAAAAAGGAGGCACAAGCAAGAAGAGAAGGAAGAAAATGAAGAGAAGAAAAGTGCTCCTCCTCGACCACTGTCGGACTTTCACCTGGCAGTTGACCGACGCTGGAGTTCTGCCCAACAACCTACCGACGTTGGAGTTCTACCCGAATGCCAACTAAATTCGGAGTTTTGCCCTACCGACGACTGACGACAGACTTCTACTCAGTTGTCGACTTTCGTCGGACTTCTACATGACGCCGAAGTTCCACCCATCGTCGGACTTCTTCCTGTCATCGAATTTTTAACGATCTTCCTCCCGACGTCAGACTTAATTTCTACCCAAGCTGGATTTCTGCTTGTCTACATACTTCTACCAGACGTCGGACTTCCTCCTGTCACCGGAATCCTGCCCTACACTAGATTTCTACCCGACGCTGGACTTTTGCCCGTAGCCAGACTTTCATCGGACTTCTACCGAATGCCGGACTTCTTCCCGTCGACATATTTCTAGCCGACACCGAACTTCTGCATGTCAATAGTCCTTCTGACCTTTGTCACCAGACAACGGTCTTTATGACCACTGTCGCCCAGTGACTACAGTACTTCTGACCTCTGCCGCTAGACAACGGTTCTTCCGACCTTCGTCACCTGCCGACTATGGTTATGTCAACCAAACAAATATATCAATACTGATTCATTTAGTCCCAACATGTAATACATGTTATATGATGAATATTTATTACATCGATCCAAGCTGATTGGCAAGCTCAGCTGCAAGTACAAGTTCAAGCTCAGCTGCAAGCACAGATTCAAACAAGTACGGAGCAACACAATCAGTTGTTGGATGAAATGCGCAAGATGAGGGATCAGCTGAGTGGAAAAGACGTAGCTTCACCTGAGGAGGAGTCCACGGAGTCAGAGTAGTTTAATTTAGTTTACATGAACTTATTTATTTCTGTGAACATGTGTTATTGAACAATTTCTTTTAATCTGATGTTTTTTGTTGATTGTTACTATTGAACAGTTTCTTTTAATGTTATAAACTGTTGAGAATTTGTTATAAAATGTTGATCTGTTGAAATGTTACTATTGAAATGTTGTGGAATTGATATTTGTATAGGTTTGCAGGTGTGGAAATTTGATTGTTGGTTTGGAATAAACTTTTTTTTGTCAATGCTACAGGTTTCCGGCGGATTGTACGACGGGAATCCACTGGAACGAACGATACAACGAATTGTATCGGACGTATTGACGTCTTCCTTCCGTCGGCAACTACAGGCGCATGTTCCGGCGCGATTTCCGCCGCTTATTTCCGGCGACAACTTTGCGCCGCAATCAAAGCCGTGGGTTGTCTATGGCGACCTTGCGGCGTTTTGTCCGCCGGTACTTACCGGCGAAAAATTCGACAGAAACTTACCGGCGCATATGGCGCCGCAATTTATCGGTTGTAAGTCGTCGGCACAAATCCGATGTTTTACGCCGGTAATGCGTCGGGAAGTGCGCCGGAAAGTTTTCCGGCGCATTACATTCGTCGGAAAAAATTTATCGACGAGACCAAAACCGGCGTATGCATTTCCGCCGAAACGTGCGCCGAAAACTTATAGTTCTATCGGATTATCCTATGTGTTCCGGCGAATTTAGTCCGCCGGTAATGACGGGTTTTCCTGTATTGTTCAAATTGGGCCATGCTCTATGAGTTTTTCCCTTTTTAGGATTTACCGCATAAAAATCTTAGTGCCTCTTATAAACGCTACATCCTCTCTTTCATCTGTGTTCGTGCTGGATTTTCGTACAACGCTAAGATGTTAAATTTTATATTTCGCTAACACCGTGAATGCTCCAAGACGCAACAATATTAATTTTGTAAATTTTTTATAAATATTTTATGTCAAAAATTAAATTTATTGCCATCAAATATCTTCAAATTTTGATTTAAATTTATGTAAAATGTAATATTTTTCTTTAATAAAAATCTTAATTTTTTCATAAAAATTTTAAATTAGAGAACTAAATTTGATACGTGATTTCACATTTAGCGTGGCAGTGGGTGCAGACATGTTGAAAGTAGCACAATGTAATTAGCTTGTGTTACACACAACTCATCTTGGCCTATTGGTTGAGAGCTTAGGCTTCCAACTAAGAGGTCCAGGGTTCGAGTCTATGTGTATGCTGTGTATGCGTTGTGTGTGTGAGTTTGCCTTAAATGCCTAAATGTCCAAAAAAAAAAAAATAGCTTGTGTTGAAAAAAGAATAAAAAAAAAAAGAGTTTATAATACATAAAAAATAGAACAAAAGAGGTAATTTACTAAAATTTGATACTATATTCTTTTTTACAAAATTAAACACTAAAGATTTAAAATCTCTTACCTTTAAAATACTTGCATGTGAGCAAATCAAATAAGGAAGCATAAAAGAACAAATAAAACAAAATTTAAAATATTTTAAAAGAGATTAAAATGACCAACTAATCAGCTTAGGGACACGCGGCAATTAAATTTCAATAGTGCGGTGTATGGTCAATGGTGTTCTGTTAAAAGAGATTGAGTGAGAGATTAGAAGTCCTGAATTTTAGTGCATGGCCAGCTGGAAGTAAACGCGTTTAAGAAGAGCAGGATCACGGTGTCAAAATAAATCAATGGATTAGGTTCGGATCTGACTCAAAATTGATGCAATTTAAATATAATCAATTAGATTTTGATTCATTTATTAAACGAGTTAAAAATTGAATCCGAATTGGACCCGGTAATAAACCGAATTGTGTCCCGATAAATTGCTTTAATTAAAAAAATATTTTTCTTAATTTATTAATCATAAATTTTATATTAATTGATTAAAAATAAAAGAATTATACAAATTAATAAAAGAATTTAAGAAAAAATTATTAATGTAGAATGAGAGAATCGAGAACAGGTTTCTCAAGAACAGGTTTCTCTGTTCTTGACAGAGACGAAGGAAACAGAAGATAAAGTAAACAGAGAAATACTATATTTCATTATCATGAAAGTGGAGGATACATTGTTTTATAATAGAGTCTAGTACGGAAACCTATCTAAAAACCAATCAGCAGGTGACAACTCATTATGTAATAAATACAGTAAATGCTAAAATACTCTATTACTCTAATATGCCCCCTCAAACTGATGAGTTCTTCGTGACCGTCAGTTTGCTGCGAAGCAAGTGAAACCACGGAGTGAAGAGTGGTTTAGTGAGAACATCGGCAATTTGATCAATAGAGCTGATAGGTAGCAAGGCTATGTTGTTCTTTTGAATTTGATCTCGTATGAATTTTTGATCAATGTCCACATGTTTTGTACGAGCATGAAACACCGGGTTATGAGCCAAAGCAATCGCTGAAGTGTTGTCACAATAAAATTCTGTAGGATAGTCCTGATGAAGACCGAAATCTTGAAGAAGCTTGCGGAGCCAAATGACGTCGGTGGTGAGTGCGGCAAGGGCCCTATATTCCGACTCCGTGGACGAGCGGGCCACCGTGTTTTGCTTCTTTACTATCCATGAGATTATGTTATCGCCGAGAAAAGAACAATATCCGGACGTGGATTTTCGTGTTATTGGATCGCCGGCCCAGTCCGCATCTGAAAAGGATTTAAGAACTAAGTTAGTTTTGGTGATTGGTATACCAAAATCCAATGTACCTTTGATGTATCTTAGAAGACGTTTGAGCTGATAGGTATGTTGCGATTGAGGATCTTGCATGTGCTGGGACAGGAGGTTGACATTGTATGCGATATCTGGTCGAGTTAGGGTCAAGTACTGAAGGGAGCCGGTGAGCCTTCTGTATAGTGTAGGATCCGAAAGAATTGGTTCTGGGTGAAACACGATAGGTAGTTTTGTGCAGTTAGGATTGGAAAGTGGTTTACAGTCCGTGAGATGTGCTAGCTGGAGTAATTGAGTTGCATATTTCCTTTGGGATAGGAACAGATTGTTATTGATACGTTGAATCCTGATGCCAATGAATTCACTTGCTTCACCTAATTGCTTGAGAGAAAATTCGGTTGAGAGCTTGTGTAGAATGTCCCGAATAGTGTTTGGTTGGTTTCCTGTGATTAAAATATCGTCAACATATATGAGCAGAAAAATAAGATCCTTATCTTTGCGGTATATGAGGAGGGACGGATCGGCAAGACTGTGAGTGAACCCGATGGATTCAAGAAATTTGGTGAACGTGTTGTACCACTGTCTTGGAGCTTGTTTCAACCCATATAGCGCCTTATGTAATTTGCATACGTGATCTGGTCGGGAGCTGTCCTCGAAGCCACGGGGTTGATACATATAAACTGTTTCATTTAATGTGCCGTGCAGAAACGCATTTGCGACGTCCAGTTGTTGTACCTGCCACTCGTTAGCGATAGCAATAGAGAGTAATATGCGTATAGTAGGCAACTTTACAACGGGACTAAAAGTTTCAGTGTAGTCGACATCGAATTCCTGATTGTTGCCTTGAGCAACTAAACGAGCCTTGTATTTGGCAATGGAACCATCCGTATGATTTTTGGTTCGGTACGTCCATTTGCAGCCAAGAATGGAGGCGTTAGCAGGCGGTTTGACGAGGCTCCACGTGGATTGTTTTTGTAGTGCAAGGAACTCGGCGGCCATTGCTTGACGCCATTCGAGCTTCTGAACCGCCACATTATAAGACGTGGGATATGTATTGACGGGCTGAATAGTAGAGTGAAACAGATTCAGGCGATCAGGATGTTTGAGAGAGCCGGTTCTGCTACGGGTTATCATGGGATGATAGGATGGGTTTGGCACGTCAGGTTGAGGAGTTATGGTAGGTGGGGGCAGAAAATTTTGAGAAGTTGTATTGACGTTGGGATCTTAAGGAGGAGGAAGTGGCGGGTCACTTGGTTTAGGAGCATGAGTATTAACTTGTGTAGCAGATACCGGAATTAGAAGACTCGGGACGGTGGTATGAGGAGGATTGATCGGTGCAGGAGCAAGTTTTGAGAAGGGAAAATGTTGTTCGGTGAAAGTAACGTGTCTTGAGATAATGATCTTGTTTTTATCTAAGTTTAGACACTTGTACCCTTTGTAAGTGTCAGAGTATCCCAAGAAAACACATGGTGTAGATCTTGGTTGAAGTTTGTGACGATGTATTGGTGGTGTTAGAGAAAAACATTGGCAACCGAAGACGCGTAAGTTGCTGTAGTCTGGTTTTGTTCGATGAACAAGTTCGAAGGGGGAAATGTCATGGGTAGTAGATGTGGGAATTTTGTTAATTAGGTAGACTGAGGTGAGTACTGCGTCCGGCCAGTACTGGTAGGGAACGGATGAGGCATGAAGCAACGTGCGAGCCGTCTCGATAATGTGACGGTGTTTCCTCTCAGCTAGGCCGTTCTGTTCAGGCGTATAGGGACAGGATCTTTGATGGATGATGCCTTGTTTGCGGAGATAGTCTGAGAACTCATGATTCACATATTCGGAACCACCATCAGTCCTAAGAATCTTGATTTTATGCGCAAGATAATTTTCAACCTGATTTTTAAAATTGATAAACGTATGTAAAACATCAGATTTTCGACGTAAAGGAAAAAAGCCAAGTGAAGTGAGTACAATCGTCAATGAAAATGACATAGTAGATGTATCCTTGCGTGGAAACAATCGGGGCCGGACCCCACACATCGGAATGTATAGTAGCTAGAGGAATAATTTGTCTGTTTTGAGAATGCTCAAATGACAACTTATGTCCTTTAGACTCTTTACAAGATTTACAAGAGAATTGCTTTTCAATCTTGATATTGCTATTACATTTATTAATTTTGTCTTTTATTCCTTTGTGCGGATGTCCAAGCCTTTGATGCCAGAGGTTGGAGTACATGTTCGCAGCAGCCAAAGCTTTATTCGGAGAGATGGTTTGCGCCAGCTGAAGAGGGTAAAGGCCTTCATTGCACGGACCTTGAAGGAGGATTTGATGGGTCATCGGATCCTTGAATGTAAAACCATTAGCATCAAAAATTATCGAGAGATTGTTATCTTTCGTAAGGCGAGATATAGACAGTAAGTTGTAAGCAAGAGAGGGAGAATGAAGAATGTTAGATAAGTGCAGCTTACGAGAGGGGGTTGGAAGGATTCCAGCCCCTGAATGAGCGACGTTGATGGAGCTACCGTCACCTATGGTAATGTTCTATGAACCTTGATATGGAGAAGTAATGGACATATTATCGAGTGAGTTTGTTAAATGCGTGGAGGCACCCGAGTCCAGAAACCAAGTGTTGTCGGGATTGTTTGCTGCCTCAAGAAGTGCACTGTTGACTGTCCTGGCATTGGGTGTGTATTATGCATTTAGGCGATGCCAGCAAGAATTTGCGGAGTGTCCTTTCTTGAAGCACATTTGGCAGATGATTGAGCTGGAGGGGTTGGATCGGGTCTGTCCCATTGAGTTTGAATTTTATCTGCCGCGGAACCTTTTGCCACGCCCCTGGAGCCGAATAAGGCCATATTTGGATCGGTAGTCGTGTGCTGCCGAGCTGCATCTGCTGCAAGATGAATCTCTTCGCTGAGGAGAAGAGGGTAGAGTTGATCGAGACTTATCGGGTTGAGCATTGTTCGGATCGATGTCTTGAACGATTGGTATGTAGGAGGAAGACCGTTTAAGATGTAGAGGATGATATCCTCTATATCTACCGTTGAGTCGGCTGCAACGATTTGGTCCACCAACGATTTAATTTTCTGAGAGGTACTGTGTCATGGTGGATGTTTTGAGAGACACATTGTGAAGTTCATTCTTGAGTTGAATGACTTTCGAGCGGTTTGAAGCTTGAAACCGAGATTCTAACGATTGCCAGATTTCAGCGGTGGACTCCAACGAGATCACATATGGCAAGATAGAATGTGAAATGGTCGAACAGAGGGCAGCCGATAATGTTTGATCGGTCAGATGTCTGTTACCCGTACTGATGGTGGAAGACGACGAGCCTTCTTGAATCTGGTCGGAGGAGGTAGGAAGCGACGGTGGCGGAACAAGAAAGCTATAGAAGCCATTGGCACGAATGATTTTCAGTATTTGGGATCGCCAGATGGCATAGTTGTCGGCAGCGAGCGGCGTAGTGACGAAGTTCTTTATGTTGGAAACAACGAACTTCAGGTTTGCCGGAATCGTTGAATCGGCCATGACATTGTTGTCGTCGGAGTTTTGGACAGAGGCAGATTGAGACATAGGTTTAGTAGTTGAGAGAACTGGCGACTGATACCATGTAGAATGAGAGAATCGAGAACAGGTTTCTCAAGAACAGGTTTCTCTGTTCTTGACAGAGACGAAGTAGACAGAAGATAAAGTAAACAGAGAAAGACTATATTTCATTATCATGAAAGTGGAGGATACATTGTTTTATAATAGAGTCTAGTACGGAAACCTATCTAAAAACTAATCAGCAGGTGACAACTCATTATGTAATAAATACAGTAAATGCTAAAATACTCTATTATTCTAATAATTAAATAGGTCATTTTTTTAGTTAAAATTAGGTTGGCGAGTAACCCGAGTCCTGTTCATTTAATAAATAAGTCGAAATACACGTATCCAAATCTGAACCATTTGTTAAACATGTCAACTTGAAATTGAATATTTTGAGTAGGGTCTTTTTTTGACCAAGGGTTTGAAAACCGGATTGGACAATGAATGGGAAAAAGAAGTGGTTAGCGGTTTGATGGTTCGATCTGGGTCAAACTGAATGATGTAATAAATAATTATTATATTGAAAAATAACCTCATATTTAATTCTATCAGATGATCTAAAATCTATAAGTTTATAATTGGCAATATTTGGTCTTCATTTGAGATAATGTTTTGACTATTCTCATATAATATAGTATGAAAGTTAGTTCTAAAATTCTGTCCACACCGCAATCCTAGAGGATGATTAAAACTTAAAAGCCAATCTGCTTCACAAATTGCTCGATTCAATAAACATGGGTGGCTTGTACTTCTCTGACGTCTTCTCAGCTTTCATCCTCATATCCGCCTTTTTCCTCCCAGCAATAAAAGCGATATCAAGCTCCTAGCTTTTACCTCCTTGCAAATGAATAGATCCACGACAGAGCTGTTTGATAGTGGCAACCTTATGCTCAACAACTCCGGCGTCATGGCATGGAAGAGCTTTGATTACCCGTGCGATACCTACCTCCCCAGCATGAAGGTCGGGCTCGACCTAGCGCCGGGGAACTTCTACGTCGGCATTGGCCCTGATTGCATGAGAGGTGTTAGCTTCGCGAATGAGCAGGAGACACCGGGGAAGAAGATAGGCCAATCTGGACGCGAATGCGATACATCCGAATGAATTATACGACGGGCTGGTTATAAGAAACTGAGACCGGTTCGGCTGCTGGGGGGTCGAACCAACGATTCGAGCGGTTCAATACCGGTTTTGTGCGAAACCAGTTTTAACATGAACCGTAACCGGCCGGTCGGCCGGTTCGGGTTCAACCGATTGAACCGGCCGGTCCGATCTGATTTTAAAAGCATTATTTTTTACAACTCTAAGAGCAGAGGCAAAAATGAACTTTCAATTTTTGTTGGAAGTTCATCAAAACAAGGCACGGATAAAAAATGAAAAAGAATATATTAATAATTTTTTATTAAACATTTTTAATGTTTTAATGATTTTTTTATGATGATATAATGCAGAGATTATTGATAGATAATCACTTAAAGAATTTTTTTGATTAATTTATTAAAAAAATAATAAATTTATTTTTAAGAAGATGCTAAAAAATAAGTACAACATCACTGTTGCAGGCTAGAATATATGCGGCAATAGAGTTAAAAAGTTTTCATCTAAATGTTGTACATATATTCAACACACAATCAGGAAAGAACTAAAAACACAAGGATTTTTACGTGGAAACCCTGGAAAAGGAAAAAATCACAGGGCCACGCCCAGTTGAAAGAATTCCACTAATGTTTGTTTGAGATACAAGAGGCTGACTTGTCCTTAAAATTTAGGACGATCAAATTATAATGATTCACTTCCTGATTGAAATCCAGTCACAACATCGGGCATAATTTCAGCTTCACTTGGAGATCAGGAAGAATTCCGGTGTAGCTTGGAGGTCAGGAAGAATTTCGGTGTCACTTGGAAGTTGGGCAGAATTCAGGCATCGCTTGGATGTCAGGCAGAATTCCGGCGGTGGTCGAGGAGGAGTTTCTTCCCTCCTTCGCTTCTCTTCTTCTTCTTCTCTTCTTCTTATTGCTTGGGTCACCTCTTAAGAGAAATGAAGGGCTATTTATAGTTTTTTGGGGATGACATGACCTGTAAGTAGGAGGAGGATCAAGGGAAAATGTAGAGTGGTTCGGATGGACAACTGATATTGAATCCCTTGATCATGGACCGTTTGTCACACATTTGAATGTCTTAGCGATATTGAAATTCGACGATCTTAGCCTTATTGGATTCGTCTCATCGAGTCACTCGATTCGACTATAAGCATGTCATGTTTGGAAGCCGTTTGGTAATCCAAATTGTTTTTTAAACCTTCCAACAGCGCTTCGAGTCTATGATTCAGACTCATTTGAGCTCGAATTGAGTTGAATTTGGCGTCGTTGGGTTTGTATTTCCAATATGCTCAGTTTGACTATATGTTTGCTGAAATCAAAATTCAGATGATCCCATATTTAATTTTTGAAGTTTCCAACCTAATTTTGCCTCGAGATTCATGCCCGATAAAGATAATGTTTTGATGATATATCAATTTCCCTCCTATTTTCAGACGTTGAAGCTCCAGGAGTTCGAAAAAATATGTCACAAACTTTGGAGAATTTTTCATGTGATTTGAAATCTGATCTTGTGTGTAGGAGTCTCAAATTATTTTAAAAGTGGCAAAATTGAGTCTGGAATGTCGAAAGACGGTCTCGGAGACCCCAAAAATGTCCGATTTGGCCTATCCGGGCAACAAATTGGACTCCCGACTCGCCGGCCCACGCAAGGCCCGCGTGGTGTCCCGTGCCGTTTAGCGACCAGGCGACGGTTTGCCACTGGTGGTTTGGCAACCGCCGATTCATTTTAATAATATTTTTTTAACTCAAGAAAATATCCAAAAATACCAAAAAATTTCAAAAAATTCAGAAATATCCAAAGCTTTTGGATGTTTCTCTTTTCCTCCAAAAATACTATAAATACCCCCTAGGGCCAGGGGGAACTTGCACATTCTTCCTTTCTCCCTCTGACTTTCTTATAGCCGAGGCATTCCGCTATTTTTTAATAGGTGACTTTCCCTACTTAACTTAGCGCCCATCCTCTTATACAGAAGTTAGAATTTTCCCAGTCTTTCTCTTTCTTTCTTTCCTATTTTTCTTCCTACTTAAGAGGCTTTCTGCTATTTTTTGTAGGTGACTTTCCCTACTTTAATTCATCACTCCTCTTTAGTGTAGAAGTTGAAATGTGTGATCATACATCCACAAAAAAATCTTCCAGCCAAAGAAGATCATCCGGTTGCCCGATCTGAGAGTTTAAAAAAGACTCACAAAGTAGCCAAGACCGATGATGTTATCTCCACCATAACTGGCGACTCTTTCATTACTTTTAGGAAAAAGTTTCATTTTACTAATGATCTTATGATGAAGGTACCGACAAGGTTCGATCGTGCTTGTTCTCCTCCTCCTGGATATGTGACACTGTATGAATTTAGTTTGAGCGGGGCTATGGTTTCCACCATCTCCTAAGTTGATTGATATTTGACGATCTGTGGAGTGAGTTTGTCCCAACTTTCTTACAGGTTCATATCGATCATAATGGGACTGACCGTATTTTTTAGAGACCGTGAAGTGGTGTTATCTTCAGAATACCTCTCTCGGATGGGGCGTCTTATTAGTGATACACAGGATCATATCTCTTTTAGATCCAAGTGGCTGGATTTTTGTACTCGAGATCCATAAAAAGGTTGGATTAGTGACTTCTTTTTTGTGGAAAATGATTGGAATCTCCAAGAAAAATGAGAAAAGTTAAAGGAGTTACCCGTTCCCCTACATATTGGAGCAGAGGATTTATTAAAGATACTCAAACTTTCTTATATTGACGCCCTACATTATGAGGTGCATTATTTGAGCTGATGTATAGAAGAAGAATATTTTTTCACAGTGGGACTATCTGCTCAAGCAAAAAGATAGCATGCATAAATGCTAAAGAAGTCGGTGAAAGTTCTAGAGGCAGTTCCCTAACCTTCAAAAGTTTCTTCTAAACGACCAGGGAGTGATGGTGATCTATAGGAATCAAAAAAGAAGAAGGCAAAGAAAATGTTGGCGGTCACTAGTAAAGGTCTCCGTATCTCTCCATCCAAGTCTTACATTCCAAAAGATATTTTGAAACATCAGTGCATTGGCCGTTGATGGGCTGAGGAGTTGGTGAGTTAGTCTTTCCTTTTGTATTTTTTCAAAGGATATGTCTGTTATAAAATTTTATTTTTGTTGCCTCAGTTTGAGAAGTACACAGATTTCAAGCTTTAAAGGACCAAGACCTTGAATGACTAGACTATTGAATTTGTAAATGTCAAATATCTTCTGGGAAAATACAAGAAAAAATACGACGGCAAAGTCAAGGAGATGAAGGCGGTGGAGGAGCAGCTAGCAGAGTGTAGAGCAGAGCTGGCTAACTTGATAACTTCAACCTTCTCGTAGAATCAACAAATGGATCATCTATATATATAGTTGGTGGATGCACAGGCGACGATCAACCAGCAGATGAAAGATCAGTAGATCCTTGAAACTAAGAATAAGAGGCTCTAGAGTATGTTCTTAAAGAAGGAAGCCCAACATTTACCGTTTATAGTCATAGAATAATTCAAGAAATCTTTTGCCTTCAAGGTAATCGTTAAAGATCACATTTAGGAAGCTCACAACCATATCTATGAGGTGGAGGTGAAGTCTTTAGAAGCAGAGTGTATGAAGGAGGGCTTCATCAGAGGTTTTATGAAGGGGTTGACACCTAGTCAGGCTTTTGGTGACCCTTCTTTAGACTCTCGTGAAAAGATAGAGAGTGAGTTACAGAAGGCCTTATCCCATGAGGAGGAGGATGATATCGAGGGGTTGAATTTATTATAGAAAGTAAATTTATTTTTAAGAAGATGCTAAAAAATAAGGACAAAATCACAAACAATTTCAACTTATTTTGAAAATTTTCT